TTTTTTTTGGGCGGGGGAGAAAAAGGGGGGGCGTTTTTTTTTTTTCCCCTTTTTAATTTTTTTCCCCGCGTTGGTGGGGGTTTTTTTTTTCCCGCAAAGGGAAAAAAAGGGGCGGGGATTTTTTTCCCCGTTCCTTTTTTTTTTTTCCCCCCCCTTTTTTTTAAGGGGGGCCCAAAAAAAAGGGGGAACCTCTCGGGGGGGGGGGGGGAAAACACAAAAAAAATTTTTTCGGGGAAAAAAAGGGTTTTCTTCCACCCTTTTTTTTTTATAGGTTTTGGGGGGGGGCCCCGGGGTAAAAAATCCCAAAACCCGGGGGGGGGGGTCCCCCGGGGGAAATTTTTGGTAATTTGGGATTTTTTTCCCCCGAAAAAAAAAAAAGGTTTTTTTGGGGTTTTTTTGGGGGAAGGGTTTTTGGGGGGGGAAACCCCCCCCTTTTTTTTTGGGAAAAAAACCCCTTTTCCCCCCGAATTTTTTTTTTGGGTTTTTTTTTTTTTCCCCGCCCCCCGGGGGAAGGGTTTAAACCCCTTTTTTTTCCCCCCTTTTAAAAAATTCCCCCTGGCCATGGCCCCTTTTTAAAACTTTTTTTCCCCCTTTTCCCCCCCCCCCCCCCCCCCCCCCCCCACGCGCGCGCGCGCGTGTGTGTGGTTGTTGTTGTGGTGGTGGTGGTGGTGGTGGTCTGAAATTATCGCGTTGGGAACAAGCCAGACAAGTTGATGTACAACGGTGAGATGGTGGAGGCGACGTCCATCTTCACGGGGGTGGCGGTCCTGGTCCTGATTGTCGACGCGCAGGTGGAAAGAGACGAGATGAGATATTAGTCGTGGGTCCTGTCCTCTACAGGGGCAGTGTAGGTGGTGCAGTGTAGGACGGGCGGGCGAACTCTCTTGGCGCAGGTTGAGTTGTGACAACTTGTTTTTTTTATGTTTTTTTTATGGAAATGGTTGTAGGGTAGGCGGGGGAATCGGCCTGGTGTATATAAACGTCGATTTAGTAGGGATCCCGACTGTGAGTGGCATGAAGGTAACAGCCGCTGTGGGCAGCGTTTTTGATGTCTGCCAACAACGCCACGGTGGGCATGGTGCCATCATGTCTCGTGCTTGGGCGATGTATGTCTGACGGGAGGATGTCATGCCAACAAAACCATGCACATCAATTTCGTGTTCGGCTTGGAACAGTAAATTTTCGTTTTCATTTTTGGGTATTTGTCGCATGTCTTTGTCTCGCGATATTGCTAGCCCCTTCTTGGTCCGTAGTGAAGACAGCAGTTGTTGTTGAAGCGTCGTGTTTTCGCGTCTTGCGTTTGCAAGTGGCATCTCTCTGTTCTCTCTCTCTCTCTGAGTCACACGAAAGCACATCTTGTTTTTTGTTAAGGCTCTCGTTGCCACTTTTCCGTGCTGGCCTATCCTATACCCCATTCGGATAGGGTGCATCAAGTCGATAAATTTCCCCCCTGTACCCTTTTTCGTCGCCCCCTGCTTGTGTGTTTCGTTTAACCCCTTTATGGCGACAGGATTGTCCGTACCCTTTTTTGGTCACCCCGTGATTGTGTCTTCCGTTTACCCTTTTTGGCGACAGGATTATCCTGTCAAGGGAGGGGCTCTGCTCTTTTTTCCATGCCTTATGCGGCGTCACCGCCCCTATTGTTTTTTTTCGTGCAACACGAACCAACCATATGGTTACATGTACTCTATTCTTGTTTTGCCAGGAGGACCCAATCGACGAGCAATTGGGCGGTCTGGTCAACGTCGTCAAGAACGCCTGCCTCGTCAACCCCAAGCTGGCTGTCGAAATCTTCATACACAAGGTACCGGAGGGGTGGCCGTTTCTTCGAACGTGGGGATAGCAAGCGTGCCTCCATGGACGTGGAGCATTTTTTCTCAAGACATTGACTACAATGTACCACCTCCTTTTTGTGTTAAATCCCTACAAGAGTTCACCAGCGTAAACACCGCGACCAGTATACATACATACTTTATATTTCAGGGTAAACGGGGGCGCGGACGCCTTTCTCCTCAAGATTTTTTTTTTGCGAGCTTATGAAACGAGCTAGCCCCGAAGCACCGAAGTTTTGTGTTAAGTATTTTTGTTTGTCGGTGCCGTGTCGTGGGTCGAATGCGCCAGATTGACGGAGACCTTTACTTGACGGACGAGCCGAAGGAGGAGTGTCTGCGAAACGTCCAGAGCTACATCAACGCGGCCTTGTCGTGGAGCAACACCGACATCAGGCTGCGATACCACCTCACCAGCATCTACGGTAAGCAAGTGGTTGTTTTGACCTTGTCGTTGTGTCGTTGTTGTCGTTGTTGATGATGATGATGTCGCTCCTGATGTTGTGGTTGCTTTTGCAATGGTTGGTGGTGTGATTTTTGCTGGGTGCTGTGCTGGCCCTATCCATTGTCTGTGCTTTTGGATGTTCGATGGGGTTCATTCTCGCGTTTCGCGTTCGGAAGCGCTGTAATAGGCTCGTGGCAACATGTTGTTGTGCCTTTTTTGTGGTTGCTGTTGCCCGCTTGGTTGAAGAGATAGAGATGCGCATCGGAAGCGTTTTCTAACGTTGACAATCCAAACAAATACACCCGTGCCTGCCCGCACTCTTACCCCAGTCCCAGTCTTGTACGTAAGCCGCTGACAACCTTGCCTGTGTTTTTGGCAGATCACAGCATTTTCGACGGTCTGAGCAAGGTGGTGCAACTCCTCATCCCGCAGCTGCCCACGCTGGAGAACATGCTCAACGCCCTCATCTCTGTAAGAATCTCGCGACCAAATGCACATGTACCGGCAGACTGACTGCCGTGGAGTTGTGCGTGAAGGGGGTGCGTTTGCTCTCGAGCGTTGTGAATGGACACTACAGCCGCTGTGCTTGGGTGGGGTCTAGGGGGGGTATGGAACCACGCTCTCGATTCGTGCGGTTCTTTTTACAGCGGTCAGTGAACCATGCCGCCACGGTATTATCTTGTATGTGCTGCATGTTTTGTTTTTTATTTGTACAGTAGAGAGAGAGTTGGTTGTGTTTCGTTAGAGGAAGAGGAGCTAAGTTGGTGTGCGCGGCATGGCCGCCGTTGCATTGCATGGCCATCAAACTCAATCAAAAGTCGACAACCAATAACATGTGCTCCGTCGTACAGGGTTACGGTCAGCCGTAGCCTACTCTACCTTGTGAAACACCAAAAGGTCGGTGAGACATTTGACTGACTATCCCTAACCCTAACCCTAGCCCTAAATGTCACCCACACCGTGTGAGCGACTTGAACATTTCATTCGCTCTCTCTTTTTTTTCCCTACCTTAGATTGCACACGTTCGTTGTGCATGTAACTGGAACTGAGCCTGTATCCTTTGGATGATCAAAACCCGCCGCAGCCCCCAGCTGTCTGTCGCCCGCGCTTGATGTAGACTTTCAGCATCAATCAGCTGCCGTGCATCTAGAGCGTGACGTCGACCTCCTCTCCCCCGGTAATTATGCAGCAAGCAGGCGGCACTACTGTTGAGATGTGGTGCTCGTACGCCGGCTGTCCAGTAATTTTGTCCCGTTCGTTGTCTGTCAACACACGACATCGATGCTTCGTTTTGTTTTGACGAAACTAGGGGAAACGCTTCTACTCCCCGAGTTTCGTGGTTTACCCCCCCCCCCCCCCACTCGGTGTTTGCCATCGGGATTGGGTTTTCGTCGCTTGGCAACGACGTTTGTAAAACAAGCCAATTCACTTCGTGAACTCGGCAACCAGGTTACCGTCTTTTTTTTTTTACCTCTGGTTTTTTTTTTGGCGGTAACCATAATGGTGGTCGAGTAGATCATGTTGTGCGGGGTCGAGAAACCTCACTCCGCGCAACGGGGGATGATCGCACCACGTTGTGTTAAAATGGTCAAGCTTCCTCGAGGCAGTTACACAGTGCTTACAACTGTCTCTGGAAGTGAAAGCACCAGAAAATAAATTAAGTCATACGTAGCTGTCATCCGTACGCAAGGAAGTAAGCACAAGATGCCGAACACCCTTAGCAGGATGCAGCTCACCCTTCATGCGACTCGCCAAATACCTCACGGCGCTTCGCGCTTGGTGATGTGAGAGCCTGGTCCGGTGAGA